CAGAGATAAGGGCACACTTTTCTCTTATTCTTCATTTAGCACCACATGCGAGTAAGCTGTATGTAATAACGCACTGCCTCAAGGAGAACTTTAAGTGAGATCATGACAATGGGACTCCATTTTCTCATGTCCATGATGAGATCATTGGAATAAATAGTGTTTAAGATCCCATTCTCCCAAGACTACTGACTTTGGGGTGGATATATTGTTGGAAATGAATGTCTCGGTTCACTGCATGGGGTATGTTGAGAGGTACGAGGTCAATGAATCTTTGCACTTCATGCACCACAGCACCCATGTATTGCATATCTTGTCTGTCCCTTATGGAAGGAAGTCGATTGTGTCCAATCATACATTCAATTTCCTCAAGAATTTTTGCTGCAGACACAAAAATACAAATCACCACTCAATGTTCCTCTCCTGGGAATTCTCAACTGAGCCTGTTTGCAATATCTGCCTGATGTTAGGACCTGAGATGATTCTCAGATGAGCTCAGTGTCCTCCTGCTACTCAGTCAAGGATACAAAGGCTTCTGTAACAGCAATACCATAAACTTCCATGATTTACTGGGTAGGACTCAGAAAGAATTGTGTTTACATTTCTCTTTAGACACTACCTGTGTAAATTCAGGTAAGTCATTAAATCTGTGAAAGCCTCATTTTGCTTATCTGAAAAATGAGGATCATAAATTATCTGTCTTCTAAGGTTCCCTACCCCTCTAACTCTATTATCCTATGATTTCTAAAATGGAGATAAAAACTGTACCTCCCTTAGCAGACATCAAATGAAATTACATGTCAAGTTATTTGTAACCCTCACATTCTTTATGTTTATTATGCCAGCTCTTATTGTCAAAGAAAGTCGATGCCATCATTTGAATTTGTTAGTGCTGGTGATGGCATTATCATCTTGATTTAAACCATTCACCAGCTCTGTATCTCAGCTCCTGTCTCAATACCCTGAGCTGCTGAGGCATAGAATCTCAGCATTACAGGTGACATGTTTTCACCTAGGGCCATCCATAGCTGAACAGGAATCCTGACTCTAATGGACTGAACAAAGGGTCAACCAGCCTTTGCTTGAGAATCTCTAGTAAGCAAGAACTCACTATTTCCTGCGCAGCTGAATGGACTTCTGGAGAATTTTAATAATTGGTAAGTCTTTCCTTACATGAAGTCTCCATTTGTCAATATGTAAGTTCTACCTATGGTAGAACTGAGGGTGCACAGTGGGAGCTTTATATGTGTTCTTTAAAGTGAATTGAATTCCTCATGACAGACCTCCACATGTTTAAATAACTAACAGGTCTTGTTCAGGGGTCCTGTTTTCTTCAATATGCTACTGTCTGACCTGTTGCTGATCTGTGAGGAAGTCATGCAAATCCAATAGGTGGAAAGGAGAGACGAGCTCCTGGCAAGCTGCAGGAATGGGAAAGCAAGCCTGGTCTGAAAGCATGGCAGTTCTTGCACTTACCTTGGACCTCAGGATATTTCAGAATGAGCAGCAGGCCATATCGTAGGGTGCTACTGCTTGTCTCTGTTCCTGCGCTAAATAAATCTACTCCTGTCATTTTTACATTTTCCAAGTCAAATTCAGTCTGAGCATTATCTTTCTCCTAAAGCAGAGATACAAAATACATTAAGTAATGAGAGACAGCAGGAAAAGCCATTAGTAACCATGTGAAGTTCTTAAAGTTTCTCTTAGGAGTCCTCCCCACCTTCATTTCCCCACTCTAAGACAGAAGAACCTTCCTAATGCTCTTAGGTTTCCCTTACCCATCCATAGGCGTACTTTTCCCAGGCAACCTTCTTCCCGTCCAGAAATATGACATAGTGAATAGAGCACTAGGCTTTGAATCAGGAAGATCTGAATTAAACTTTATTCTCAGCTAAGGGGTCTGTGTCCATGGGAAAGTCACTTAATTTTTCTGGGCCTCACTTTCCTCATATGTAACAGGAGACACCTGGATCCTTTCAGCTCTCTATTTATTATCTATGATATATGTGGCATGGTGAGGACCTGATAAAGTAATTCACTCAAAAAGTTGATAACCTGCTAAGAGACCTTGCATACAGATACTTTTACTACAAAGCAGGACAGCATTTTAGTTTAAAAGAAACAAAAAGAAGAAGGGATTTCAGATTTTCAGAACAGGGAACTGAGAGAAAAGTCTTCGGGCAGGAGAATACAGAATTTCAAATTTTGTAGGGAGAAGGAAATTCAACCAGCCAATCTGTAACTGATCAGAAGTTTCCTTTTCCAAAACTCCCTTAAATTGTCAGCCAGCCCCAGGTTGAAGATTTCCTTACATGGGGAATTTATTACTTAATGAAGAAATGTATTACATCTTGGACATTATCCCCTTGTGTGGAGATTAAATGTGTCTCTGTAACTTCAAATGACTTGTGAGTTCTGTCTTCTGGGAAATGAGGAAGCACAGGAATTCTAACCCTTTTCTGGGACAGCCTTAAAAATTAAGTGGCTGCTAAGACTCCTTCCAACCCACAGATTCTATGAAATTCTATGAAATACGCAAGCTCCTAGGATTTATAGCTAGGACGCATCTTGGAGATCAACTGGCCAAGCACATTCATTTTAAAGAAAAAGAACTTGAGGCCTACAGAGGTGAAACAATGATATTAAAATCAAAGCAGATTGAGTTATAGTACTAAATAAGTAATCCTGCAAATACAAGCTTCATCCTGAACAAAATAAGATGGACTTATAGCCATCAGTCTTGTAAAAATGAACAATTTTGAAAGATTTATGAACTCATGTCAATTCAACTAGCAAACATGAGCACAGAGTACTAGTGATGAAGAATGGTACCTGCCTTCTGAGAGAGAATTCATGGACTAGTATGTAGAAAGGGACACATTTTGGGACAAGGCCAATATAGAAATGTATTTTTCTTCATTATGCTTGTTTGTTAAGAAGCCTATTATTTGTCTTTTTTCATTTGGTGGGAGAAAATAAATATTTGATAAAAGAAGACAGACTTCAAGAAAAAAGGGTGGGTTTCAGGCATTTCCTAAAAAACAGAAACTCAACATGAGTCAATTATTTGACCTGCAAAACTTCAAACCAGACAAGCATAAAGTAAATAAATTAATGAGAAAAGATAAAGCAATGGAATCAATACTCTCATGCTTTTATGTCAGCTTAACACTATTTTTAAAAAATCTCCCATTGGCTCAGGGCCCCTGGAAAAAAATAGAAATTACAGAGGCAATAGAAACAGAGTGGCAATATATGGAGGGAGGGTGTTAAAAAGTTCTTAAGGATACCTTCATTTCAACCTGAAAGAAAGTCTCTAGTGAACAGTTCAATGATGTACGCCTGGTTCTGTAGTGTTTAACATTTTTGTCAGTATATGAAATCAGTCAATCAACAAGGAAGTATAAAATGTATTTTCTGTGCCAAGCAGAATGCCAGGTAATGGCGATACAAAAGCAAAGGATAAAACTAAGACAGCCCCTACCCTCTGGGAGTTCGATTCTACTGAAGGAATACAATACATATAAATATAAGTACACATGGGATCCATGGAAAATACATACACAGAGATTTGGGGTGGGATATTAACAACAGGAAGAATAAGAGAAGCTGCTTGAAAGAGGCAGCAGCTGAGTGTGAACGGATATTAGGGCTGCTAAGTGTTGAGGAAAGAGAGAGAGCATTCCAGGGAGGGGGGAGACTGTATAAAGGTAAAGAGGCAAAAGATGGAATATTGTGTACAAAGAAGAGCAAGCAGGGCAGCTTGGCTGGGGCACAGAGGGAGGCTGTGAGAGGGAAGAATGTGTAACCAGCCTGAAAGAGAGGCTGCAGCCAAATTGTGAAGGGCTTTAAATGCCAAATACATGAGTTAGTGTTTTTCTCTAGGAGCCCTGAAGCTTCCTATCATGGGAATAACCCAGAGAGTCTTGCACTTTATGCATGTTAACTTGGCAGATTTGTGAAGAATGGATTGAGGGTCTGGATGCTTGGAGAGCTGGTAGGAGAGAATTGTCACTGTCTGGGTAAGAGATGCTGGTGATCTGAACTAAGGTGGTTATGATGTGAATACAGAGAGGAAAGAGTTCATGACACTGCCATGATGGTGTTGGGGGGAGAGAACACATTTACTCTCTCCTCCCCACCTCCAGCCCTGAATTCTCATGACTTACTTGGACAATCAAGAAAGATCTTGATTTTGAGTGATTTTATGAGAGAAAATTATAGCTAGATTTTGAGATTATAGCTAGTATTTATACAATGTTTTAAAGTTCACCACGTCCTTTAGCAACATTATCTTAATGACCATTCTGGGAGATAAATGCTATTATCCCCATTTTACAAATGAGGAATATGACTTCCCCAGGATTACACAGCTAAGAAGTGTCTGAATTTGGTTTCAAACTCAAGTCTTTTTGACTCCAAGCCCTGCTCTGCATCCCATTTCTCCTGTTTAGAGCTTACTTTGTATACATTTGCTTACATATACTCTCCCTCATAAGATTGTGAACTCTTTGAGGGCAGGGGTTCTTTTTTGCCTCTTTTCTGTCTTTGGCACTTAGCAGAGTGCCTGGCATATAGTAGTTGCTTGGTAAATGTTTATTAGTCGATTCCTATTATCACTCTCCAATACAATATCCCCTTCCAAACAGGAAAGTCCAGATCACCAGCTCATCACCCAGAAAAGCAGAACTCTTCCAATCTCATTTTCCATACAGACTTCAGATCAGGGATATGGGCAGACCAAAGACCAGTTACTAGAAAGCCAATGGTGTCCTTGGGGGATGTGGGCACTTTGGGGTTCTCTCTGATGCCCCTTCCTGTGCTTGTGGCCTGTAAGAATCCTTGGAATATCAGTCTTACTCAACAAGTAAGGTGCTTCCCCATGCATCTTACCTGCTGCATTTTGGAGAGGTAGTAGTCAATGTAGTCCTGAGGGTTGTTGGGGTCCAGTACCTTCTGATGCTCCTTCACTCTTTCCAAAATGAAATCTTTAAGTTCCTCATTAATTTTTAAAATTCTTTTGTGTTCTCCAGGGAGGTATGCTCTGAATGCTGGTAAAAAGTTGTAGAGCGACATACACCTACCCCGCACCCAAACAAACACGTGTGAGTTTATTGTCATGAAGAAACTATTTAAAATCTCTAATTATAAATTGTTGTATCTTATTCAAAGCATTGCATTTCTTTTTCAAATTTAATTAAATTTTTCATTGACAGAAGTATTTTCTCTCTCATCTCCACTGAACATTGGTACAAACAAAAAAGAAAAGCAAAACCGTAGAAACAAATACACGTAATCAAGCAAAACCCACCTTGGCAATAGCCAAAAATGTATGTCCCACTCTACATCTTGAGTCCATTCCCTTCTCTCTCATAAGGTGGGCAGCATGGTTCATTGTGCTTCCTCTGAAATCATCGTGGCTCCTTGCACTGTTAGCTTACATTTGCATGGTATTTGTCCTTCCAGTGTTTTTGTTATTGAACAAATTGATTATTCTGTCTTTGCTGTAGTTGTTCAGTTGTTTCAGTCGTATTTGGCTCTGTGACCCCATTTGGGATTTTCTTGGCAAAGATATTGGAGTGCTTTATCATTGCCTCCTCCAGCTCATTTTACAGAGACATACAGGGTTAGGTGACTTGCCTAGGATCATACAGCTACTTTGAGGCCAAATTTTAACTCATAAAGATGTCTTCCTGATTTTAGGCCTGATACTCTGTCCATTGTATTCCCCATTGAAGTGACTTTCCAAGGGTCATACAACTGTTCTTCCTGACTCAAATTCTAGCCCTCTATTCATTGAATTCCTTTCTGTCTCTAAATCTTCTGATCTTGTGATCCCTCAATCCAAGGAGCCATCAAAGGAATAGCCTTCTTAGACACTTGGGAGTAGTGAGCTGCTCTGCATAAATCCCAAGAGTGCCATGAATCTTCTCAAATATACCCCTAAGTTGACACATATCTCAAAACGAATCTATCTGGTGCTGCTCTACCCACTGAGGGGACCAGATGGCATCATATTATGTCGTTGTTCAAAAGAAGCTCATATTTGAGTTAAGAGGAAACCTACTTTCCTTGGAATGACCAACATAAAAAAAGAAGAAAAAGCAACATCAAGATATCCAATTAATAGCATTAAATTCACCTTAAGTTAATGAAATGCATCGAGCATTTTTTCAGTACTCACTATGAACCAAGTCCTGTGGTAGGCTATGGTGATATAGACAACAATAAAGTAGTCTTACATTCTACCAGAGAAGGTTTAGCTAGAGTACCTATTCCAGACTGTAAGTGCAACAGAACATAGGCAAGGGAAAAGAAAGCTTGTTTTTCAGCTGGATGAGGATCTTCAGTTCTGGCTTCAGTGGATGAAGGTTTTCATCCTACATGTCCATCCATTGTAGAGGCCGAGCCAGATCACTACAAGAATCAGTGTAGGCTACTGATCTAAGTGGCTTGCCCTTCCTATTCTCTCCTGGATATCCTGGGCAGGTTCTTTTTTGATAACTATTTTACTTGGTCACATCTGTGAAGAGATACCCCAGGCCCCAATTAAACACTTCTCCATATAACTTCAATTTTAATGATCTACAACTAGTGCAGGTGCCAACTAGGAACAGAATATCTACCTAATATCTTATTTGAGAGCCAAAGATACTGCGTGATGTTATTGTCCTTGAGTGACATGTGTGTGTGAATGTGTGTGTGTGTTCTCATGGGTGTTGGGACATTTACTAAGAGATGAGAGGCTATGGTATATTGATCTTGTTGCTGAAACTCAGCAAACAACCACAGAATAAGAAGAGAGTTCTGGCCTTACCTGTGTCCATGGTTTCTTAAAGAGGTGGAAGTTTTCATTTAACAAGTTCATCAGATAGAGAAATTTCTCATCATCGTACTTGAATCGGTCACGGAAGAGGATGGAGCAGATCACATTGCATGACACACAGCTAAGGATGAAGGTGGGATCAGTGGGCTGACCTAATGTGGAGACAAGTTACCAAAAGGGGGAAAAAGCAACTTTAATAGAAATGTTTCCAATCAGATGGGATATGGGCATCATACTTGGATAGGGTGCTTAGTTCTTTAAAGGCTAATGAATGTTATTCTCCTGGACAATGTCTTTACTTATAGGGAGGCTAAATGAGCTTCTAATGCCTGAGCACGAGAAACAAGAAGGGAGTTTTCTGACCCGGCAGAGTTATTATCTGGTAAGTAGATGAAGGCAGAGACTTTTAACTGATTCCCAAAGCAAATAGCATTTAGGACTGGGAATGGGTGAGCAGTTAGACGCCACGTGCCCAGGAGGAAAGAACTGAAAACCAACCCTTTGTTTTCCTGAGCTCCTCCACCAGGCATTGGGCTTCTTCTTGAACTCGCTCTTCAACGCTTCTCTTCCCCATCCCAAAGTTCCTTAGGGTCATCAGGGTAAATCTGCGGTGTTGTTTCCACCTCTCTCCACGACTCAAAATAACTCCTAGAGAGAAGAGAAGAGGACATTGGTCATTCTTACATTGGAAGGGGAGGGCACAGTGTGTATGGTGGCTAAGGAGTTTCTGGCTTAGTTCATTGATCAAGTTTAATTTTATTCAATTCAAACTAAAATACAATGACAGAATGGTAGGTACCAGGTACCTACTGCAGGAAGTTCTTCTCTTAGGTACTGAGAATAGAACAATTAAAATGAAACCAGTAACTATGCTCCAGAGGAGCATAACACATGCTCAGCAGAAGACAACAAAGTCAAAGATCTTACATTCAAGCTTCCAAGAAAAAATATGAATTGATCTCAGGCCATGGAAGAGCTCAGACAGGATTTTGAAAATCAGCTCAGGACTTCCACTTCCAGGGCCAAGATGTCAGAGTAAAAAGGTAGTTGCTGCCACCCACCCCCATCAATCTCTGAAAACCCAGAAAATATCACCCCAGAAAAAACCCTGGAACAGCTGAAGCAGAAGAAAGACAGGGAACAGCAGAGAAGTAGCCCAGCCTCACTTTAGCACACCAGGAGGAGATCCTGGTGACTTGGCATTCTACAGCAAACCAGTCTCCCACTGTCTCAGCAAAAGTAAGGGAAGCAGCACTACAAAGGGCCCTAGGTGGGTAAGCACCCTACAGTATTCATCTGAAAGCAACTAAAGAAAGCAACCTAGAGTCCTACTAAAGTTCCAGCCTTGCTGGTTCCCGCCCAACACCAAGTAAGCTGTCAGAACCCTACAGTCCCCAGGTGACAAGCAGGAGGAGATCCTGAAGCCCAGGTGGTAGAGTAGGCAAACACCAACACCTCAACCTCTGAGTGCCTCAGGGAGGGTGGGGGAACTGGTGGAAATCAGCTCAGAAAACCACCAGGTGCCTCAGCATCCTACAGCAAAGGAGACTCTCAGTACCTCAGCAGATATAAGAGAGGGAGCATTGCAAGGGGCCTCAGGCAGATAAACCCTCTGCAACACCCATCTAAAACGAGCTGAAGAAAGCTAAAGGGAAGGAAAAGCAGGCAACCTGGAATTTCCTGACAGTTCCAGCCTTGCTGTGTCCAGCCCAACACCAGGTAAGCTGCCAGAACCCTACAGCCTACAGTTGCCAACATAAGAGGCCCCAGCACACAAACCCAGTGACCAAGACCTAGGCTCCCAACACAAGTAGCTTGGGTCTGTGCCATCTGATTCCCAGAAGGAGAGCTCAATCTCTTTAAAAGCCAAGGGATAAAGAAACACTATGAGTAAAATATAGATTCATATTATGAGAAGAGTGAAGATCAAGACAGAAATTCTGAAGAGGACAACATTGTCAACAAACCCACATCAGCAACACCAAAAGGGACTATGAACTGGTCTGAAGCCCAAAAAGCCTTCTTAGAAGAGTTCAAGCAGGGTTTTAAAAGTCAAGTGAGAGAGGTAGAAGAGTCCTTAAAAAACAATTGGCCAATTGGGAAAAGAAGTACACTGAAGAAAACAAATCCCTTAAATATAGAATTGGCCAATTGGAGAAGGAAGTAAAAAAAACTAATAGAAGAAAACAATCTGTTAAAAATTAGAATTGGACAAATGGAAACTGATGACTCTATGAAACAGAAAAAATAAGTCAAACAGAAACGAAGCAATGAAAAATTAGATGAAAACATACAATACCTCATTGGTAAAACAACGGACCTGGAAAATCGATCCAGAAGAAACAACCTAAAAATTATTGGACTACTTGAAAATCATTATGAAAAAAAGAGTCTGGACAGTATCTTTCAAGAAAACATAAAGGAAAACTGCACTGAAGTCCTGCAACAAGAAGGTAAAATCACCATGGAAAGAATCCAACGCTCACCGCCTGAAAGAGAAACCAAATTGAAACCCCAAGAAATATAATAGCTAAATTCCAAAATTACCAGATGAAAGAGAAAATACTGCAAGCAGCTGGAAAAAATACAATTTAGATATCATGGAACCACAGTCAGGATTACACAGAACCTTGCAGCTTCTACATTAAAAGATTGTAGGGTGCGGAACATGATATTCTGCAAGGCAAAGGAGCTTGGATTGCAGCCAAGGATCAACTACCAAGCAAAAATGAGCATGATATTTCAAGTGAGGAGATAGATATTCAATGAAGTAGGGGACTTCCAAACCTCCCTAATGAAAAGACCAGAGCCAAGAAAAAATTTGATCTTCAAGTACAAGACTCAGGAGAGACATAAAAAGGTAAATGGGACAGAAAGATGCAATATGTTGTGAATAATGACAACTGTCTACATCCCTACAAGAGAAGATGACACTTGCAACTCTTGAGAACTGTATTGTTATTATTCCATGTTAAAGGAGTATACATAAAGGGGCTGGATATAAGTGGACTTTGATGTAATGATAAAAAATAATCTAATCAAGTGGGTTAAATGGATCCAAGTAAGTGAATTAGTCTGATCTAAGAAAATGTACTGAGTAAGGAGGAGGCAGACAAGGGTAAATTACATTAGAGGAGAAGACACAAAAACCTATTAGAGCAGAGGGAAGAAAGGGGGGTGAGCATTGTTTGAACCTTGCTCTCATCAGATTGGGCTCAAGAAGGTAATAACATAATCAGTTAGGTATAGA